GCTAGGACCATTATTAAAGAAAATAGAAAAATAGGCCAAAACATGGACTAAAAAATTGGCGTCCATCTAGCGGTGAAAGTTGGAACTACAAAAATATAAAAATGCGATTTTCTCGAAAATTAGCGAATTTTATGTACTTCTGAGACTCAGAAAGTGTTATGTGATCGCATTAGAAGCAACATAGAGCAATAAAAATTTCCTGAAAGCTTTAATAAAGAAAATAAAAAAAATATCATTTTATGGAGAAAATTTGTGGCGCCATCTAGCGGCGAAACTGTGAACTAAACTGAAAAAACGTATGTCCGAACACGCAGTAAAGGGGTCAAATAAAAATTGATTTTCTGGGCTTCATAGGCAAAAAAATGAATAACACATTGAACAAACATTGCTTTAAAATGTCTACAGAAGCATACTGTGTGGTCAAAGTTGCAAAATATTACTTTTTATATTTTTCCTTAACGCGTGTATGGGCATACGGTTTTTCAGTTTAGTTCGCAGTTTCGCCGCTAGATGGCGCCACAAATTTTCTCCATAAAATGGCATTTTTTTTATTTTCGTTATTAAAGCTTTTAGGAGACTTTTATTGCTTTATTTTGCTTCTAATACGATCACATAACACTTTCTGAGCCTCAGAAGTACTCAAAGTTCGCTAATTTTCGAGAAAATCGCATTTTTATATTTTTGTAGTTCCAACTTTGACCGCTAGATGGACGCCAATTTTTAGGTCCATGTTTTGGCCTATTTTTTTATTTTCTTTTCTAGCGCTCTGAGGAGGTTCTTGCGGCATTATATAGGTTCTAGAGAGGTCACAGAACAATTTCTGACGGAGGTCACAGATCGATTTCTGACCCTCAGAAGTACATAAAATTATCTAGTTTTCGAGAAAATTGAAATTTTAGTTTTTTGTAGTTCCAACTTTCACCGCTAGATGGACGCCAATTTTTTGTAGTTCCAACTTTGACCGCTAGATGGACGCCAATTTTTAGGTCCATGTTTTGGCCTATTTTTTTATTTTCTTTTCTAGCGCTCTGAAGAGGTTCTTGCGGCATTATATAGGTTCTAGAGAGGTCACAGAACAATTTCTGACCCTCAGAAATACATAAAATTGCCTAATTTCGGAGAAAATCGAAATTTTAGTTTTTCGTAGTTCTGCCGCTCGCCGCTAGATGGCGCCACCTGTACCGTTTTGGACCTAATTTTACAAGAATTGATTTTTTGGCTTTATTAAGCATTAAAACGCATCAAACGCTAATAGAAATTCGTTTCTAAATGCCTCAGGAACCCTACTATGTCGATCGTCAAAGTGCCGAAATATTAATTTTTTAATTTTCCTTATATGCGTATTAGGCCCCTCATTTTTTACGTTTAGTTCATCCGTTCCGCCGCTAGATGGACGCCAATTTTTTAGTCCATAAGCTGCACTATTTGTAACGATTTGCTATTGCGCATGGGGTCAATTTTAAATTTGAAGTATATTCCAGCCCAGATTGAAATTTTTTCACCTCTTAAACCTGGACGGCTCAACTTGGTCTCGATATGTCCAAGAATATTTTTTGAACGAAGATATATGTATAAAACTGTATACTTATCCGGAAATAGTGTTTTTAAAATGTATGTGTTGAATATCAAACGGTGGGTGTTTTGCAATATTCCCAATAACGAAAATTCCAAGCGCGAGCAAATTCAATTTTTACATTGAAGTTTATGAAGATCAGTTTTTTCGGTGATTATTCCTCCGTGACAAGTCCGATTAAAAATTTTTTTTTTCTATGTCCATCTGGATTGTACATACGCATGCGCGTGCAAAATTTGACGAGAATTGGTTAAGTCGTGCAAAAGAAAAACGCGGACAAAGAAGTTGCAAAGCCAAGTATAAGAGCTTTAATAATAATGGCAATGGTATAAGAGCAATAATAATAATGGTTCTAACATTGCAATATGATTAATTAGTTGCACAGGGTGAAGAAAAATATGTATAGAATCTCGATAAACTCGCAACGGAACGTTACCTTGAAACGAGATGCTATTAAAATCAATCGCAACAATCGAATCACGACTTGTTTTGTTCCAATTTTCCTTCGACCTACAAAACAAAACTGTTAAAATTCTTGACAAGACTAATGCTTGCATTCATTAAAAGTAACTTCTCGAATAAATTTTACTGATTTCCCACGAGAGTAAAGGTATCGGTATCTCGTTGGAGAAAACGGGTCCGAAGTTTACCGAAACTTCGAGATTTTCGCGCACCCTATGTCACCGCTATCCGTGATCCTATGTTCCAGGAAATTAATCAATGACAACCGGCTCTGAAATCCAAACAAAAGTATGAGAAATTGTTCGAGAAATCTCCGTAAACAATAAAGTTGCATGAATCGTGTTGGCTTAGATCAAAGTACACTACGCTAAGCACGTTTCCTTTCTCTGGGCAATCTCAACGTTGTCTTTTTTCTTTTTCGTCTCCCTGAATTCACCTCGACTGCAAGGCGAGTTTCGTGGACATTATGTTCTGGATGTATACGATCTCCATGCTGCACTATAACTCTCCATCGCCCTCGTTTCACTTTCATCTAGCATAATGTTATTCGATTCAGCCAGATTCAGGGTGCGACCTTAATTCAAAAATATACATTGTTGTCATAATTCAAGGTGTTATAAATTTATGAATTAGAACGTTTTACCAATTTTATTTGCAATAAATAAACACCTAACCAGTCTGTTATACCACTGAGTATATAAATATTGTTTTTATACTGATACACTTTTTTATATACTCATTAATATACTCATAATCATACATGTTTATATACTTATAAATTTATGAATAAGAACGTTCTAAATTCACCAATTTAATTTGCAATAAATAAACACTTAACTAGTCTGTTATACCACTGAGTATATAAACATTGTTTGTATACTCATACACTTTTTTATACATATACTCATTAATATACTCATAATCATACATGTTTATATACTTATAAATTTATGAATAAGAACGTTCTAAATTCACCAATTTAATTTGCAATAAATAAACACTTAACTAGTTTGTTATACCACTGAGTATATAAACATTGTTTGTATACTCATACACTTGTTTATATACTCATTAATATACTCATAATCATATACTCATACACTACTTGCAAACTTGAAACACATTATCATTATACATTCTATATTTGTCAACCGTGAAATAAAGTACTAATAATTTTTAATACTTGCAAAATACTTAAACTACATTTAAGCGAATATAATAACAGCCTTTTTGTGTAATGTACGAAGATAATGGCAGCAGTTCAATAAACATTTTGTCGTGGAACAAACATATTATTTTTTGCGATGAATGTTGTAACAGTGTTCCAATTTCGCAAATTTATTTCCCAATTTATAATCAGTAGATATCTAAATTGTTAGTTATAAAGTTAACAAAAATATGTATTGGTTCAATTATGTTGAAACGTGGACACGTGTTATTTGCTTTGGTCAGAAAAACAGTATTGGTTCTGAATTAATTTTAGTTGAAGTAAATTTAAATATGATTAATTTCTCTAAATAATTTGTAGTCAATACATATCATTGTCAAATTTGAAGTGTGTAAGCTCTACTATTATTTACATAAATATATATAAATTTAAATTAAATATAAATTGCACTATGCAATAAAGTGTGATCCCTAATACAACTTCATATTCTAACTTATAATCGAAAGATAATAGTTGTCTATTACACAATAAAGTAACGCAACTTCATAAAAGAAAAGCTAGTTAGCGATTGCAATCTTCGTTGTTGACCTTATCAAAGCGGCGATGGATCATTCGCTAATTTTTCGATCTCATTGCGCTGAAGCGATGAGAATGCATTTCGACACGATCCACCGCCGTTCGCTTGGTCCGTAGTTCACCGTCTGGTTGCGATAATTTGCCGATCCCACACGTGACGCGATAATGCGACAAAACGACGAATCTATTCGAACGAGTCGCAGAAAAAAGCACCGATGCACCGTTCTATTTACATTAGCGTCTTTCCAGGAGTTTTTTTCCATCTCTCTTGATCGCCGCGCAATAATTTCTCATTTTGGAGCATCCTCCCCTTCTCGACTAACAAAACACTAAGTATCTCTTAGATAACGAATGAAGGACGTCAATACAAAAACAACGAAATCAGTACTCTCAAGGCGACGGTTAAATTGCAAATTCAAGATACAATTTTCGAATGATCGGATAGTTGAGTTACCTTGATCGATCTTTTTCATACGTTTTTGTATTACTGAAAAACTTACAGAGCTATTGTACGTCGTAAAGTTATCGGCTTTCGTTATTCGTCGCGAATGCACTAAAAATTGGTATATCAATGGCACTGGCCGTCAAAGCTTAAGTGAAAAAATTCAATGGCACATGCCAGTAACGCATAACATTATTTTTAATTACGTTCGGTAATATTCATATTGTTATCAACATAATTGGAAGTGCGAGGTCAAAGAAGTTTTTTTGTTTGCTCCCGTTATCTCGACAGAGTTGATTCACTTCAATTCTGGCTACGTTTTACTGTTTACACTTTGTACTACCGTTTTATTGATTAGATACCAGCGTCACGATCTGCATTGACCAATATTAAATTTTACAAGCCACTTAATCGCCCGCGATTTGTACAGTTGTTGACGATTAAAAGTGGCGGAACTCGAAGCTATTTACTATCGTTTATTGATACGTGCATATGGCATCGATATCTTTTAATGAGATGTCTTTGATATCCAGCGACAAGTTAAACTAAGCAATTACGCTTTCCTGGTATCTGATTTCGAACACTATTCACATACACAAATGTATGAGGAATAAAATATAAAGATACAATTGTTCTATCACGGCTCATTGCCGGGGATTTATCGAAAGCGGTATTCGATCCGTAATCGAAGTGCATCGATCCGCTCAGATAATTACGCGAACGGTCAAAGCGTGCGCTAGATAGCGAAAAGCGAAAGTGTTCGCGCAAAAATAGAAGAGCAAGTAGTAACGCTTTCAGTGTAATAAAACTCGACCGGCCCAACCAACCGATTTCGTTTTAATGCAAGGCGTGGGTCGATTAATCGCGCCCGCGATTGCTTTTACTTCTCGGAGCCGGGTGGCTAACACCAGTCTACCCGTAACCGTGCGATCAACTGTGCGCTGTTCTTTTAATTAACCGTATACTGTAAACGTGTTTCCTCTTCGAACAGAAGCGTGTCGTTACCACTCGTCCACGCAATTTTGACATCTTGTCCATCCTGCAACAGAGCGTTCTATTACCGAACGTAAAGCAAGAGCATTCGTTCGTGCTCGTTTACGATCATCGAGTTAACTGTTCGTGAAGCTTAAGCAGAGGGACTGAATGCTAAGTACGACATGATTCAATTTGACGCGATCTGATTAACACGTGATTAGATTTCAACGCCAGTTACCAACGCTAGGCTATAGTGGATTCGTTGCGGTTCAACTACAACGATGAAGACAACGATATAATTTGGCGAGACTCAATTCGACGAGATTCAATTCGAAATCCAACTTGAATACGAGTCAAATTTTAATTCTATTTAGGCACATTCAATTTTGAAACAATTTAATGTCAATGCGATTCAATTTCAAAGTAATTTAATTACACTCTAATTTGATATAATTAGAGATAGATTAGAGATATCCGACGCAAGTTATTGCGATGCTATTCAGTTTTAACGCAATACTACGTGGTTAAATTCCTAAATTACATTTCAACATGATTCCAATTTGATTCGATACAATTTATTGTAATTTAAATGCTGTGACCTCTCGCTTCAGTTAAAAAGTATTCAATTCCTCGTACCTAACTTTTGACCGGGCTTAAGGAGCAAATGCAAACATTTATCTGAACCGGACAGTTCACTCGATGATGTCAGAATCAAACGAGCACGGAAGAATACTCCCGTGAATGGAATCAACCAAACACGCACGGAAGAATACTCCCGTTCGATTGAATCTAAACGCACCCTAATCGTTCTTTAGCCGAAGAGCAGCTCAAGGACTACAGCTGGCAGCGTCAAGCCCGATCAATCAGCATCAACGTATACTTTTTACCGTCTCCGCGTCGTCTATCGGCCGGTGTTCCAATTAAACCTCAGCTGGTCGCAGTGTCGCACGGTCACTCGCGTCCGCAGACGCGCCGTGGTCCGCAGGGAGCTTCCGTTTCGTCAGAGTCCTCTTTTTCGATCTCAATCGAAATTCGTTCCGCGCTTTGCATCATCCTTCGCAGCGGAGGCTCGACCCGCAAAGGTCAACAATCGGATCCCTGATCGATCAATCCGAAGTCCGCGAACGATTCCGCCAGCGTTCCGTCGCTCCCCACTTACTTGTCCCGCCGGAAGTACGATCGGCCAATCCGTGGAACGAACCAGCAGGACTTTGCCGGTACCTTTGTCGATCGTATAAAAGCCACGAGCTGCAGAGATGTCGGCGAGAATCGATCCGATCCGCTGGTCAAACTTGGTCGGCAACGGTTTACGCGCCACCAGGAACTTTTCCGTCGTTGCTGCCTCTTTCAGAAGATCTTCTGTTCTACATCCCGGCAATCTTCGATACATAAAAGTTGCCCAGCCGATCAATGCCCCCGGGGCTAAACAAACTGCACGGTTCGCGAGTTTGATCCATCGAACACCCTTAGGATACGGAAAAATATTCGGGATGCCCCACGTGTGCGTTGACGTTTATCAGACGCGGTAAGTTACCTGAGCTAGCTTCTTTTCCCATTTTTCGTGCTAAATGCGTGGTTGCTCGATTTGGGTAAATGGCTGGGTAGATGCAAGTTGTTGGATTTGGTTATTTCAAGGGTTTTATGAAGAGTACTTGTGAGGAATGAGCTTTCTTCTTTTAGGGTTCTTCAGTCTTCTGTTGTCTTCCTTAGTCTTTTGTTCGATGTGTGATAGGTGATTGTACTGGTCCTGTGAATGATACATTTTTTAGTAATAATTCGTATGTACATGTTGATCTGGTACTGCGAATAATTATAAATATACCTACTTATACTGTTTTATAATTAAGAAATATTTTAACACGCCATCCATACATTAACATATTAATACATTGTGGATTACATTCTATATCCACATGGGCTAAGTTTCATCTCTATGTTCATACATTCCTACATCCTTAAATTTCTGAATTCTTGTCAGATATAAAGAAGAATAAAGAAATAACATAGCCTTAGCATCAAAGTAATGAAGTAATTTATGGAAATTGTATTATGTAAATTTGAAATTGATTAAATCAAGTACCGTTTATATCTATCTAATAATTGAATTTGTTGATCGGATGAATTCGACCAAATTGTTATATAAAACCGGACAATGTGTCGTAGATGCAAAACACTGTCTTAACAAAGAAACCATTCAGTTAACTGTATTAGGCTTCTATTATATAATCTTATCTTGGTATCTAATGTAATGGTATATTCATTGCGCAATTTACGTGCACCGTTTGTTTACGATACGGTTGAGGAGTAAATAAAGTCAAATTAGCATGTTTTGTAAATATCGCGTACAAAGTTTCAACATTAATTTATCATATTGCAACAAGTATTTTTTCTTCTTTTCTGTTGTACAACATATCTCGTTTTTTAACAAATATGTTTTGAATCTTCCTATCCTATCGTATATCTCAAGCCCCGTTAAGTCGATGTTGATATAAAATTATTGATTTTCTAGAATGATAATAATTTAAATAATATCGTTGATAAAGTGAACGTTAACGTCCGTTCTACTATGGCAACGGACTATCACCTTGTGGATTGGCTGTCGACTATGTGAAAATTCATTTTCCTATTTGACAAGGTTTCTATAGTGATGGAGTAAGAGTCGATCGATCAACGTATCATTAGCACTGCACTCTGTACAACCACCTGTTACTCCGATATCCCATGCCTAAAACAAATATGCGTTAAATACCGCACTTGTGAAACCAGCATGTTTTTGAAAGAATTTCACAAGCGAAAATATGAGGAAAGTTTTGTAACAAATATTTACGAGATAAAGAAATTAATTAATTCAATAGTTATCCATAGAATTTATGTTTGGACCAGAGTCAGAATACATTGTCCACATTAAAAAAAAATAACATTTTACATATTTTACTTTTGCTTGTAATAATGATAATTATTATTATTAGATAGTAAAAGACTATTTCTGTCGTTGTTGTGTCTGATATAATATTGTAAAAAACGATGACGAGTCGATATCTTTTGCCAAGGTTTCCGCTCATGATTGCTCTCCCTGGACTTTGAAAAGTGTGACTCAATCTGACTCCGTGGTCCACGCATGTACAAATTAAATTTAAAAATTATTTATTAGTTTACCTAAATTAAAAAGTAGGTTATTGGACTATTCTAGGGTGTCGTCGTTAGCCACCCACGCGGCGAAGAATCCCGCCCTTAACAACAGTTACGAGAACATTGGCAAAACACCATTGTTAAACGCGTTGACAGAATCTCTCGCTCCCAAGCTTCGATCGTACATCGAGGAGTGTGCGTCCATTTGTTGTCCAAAGGATATTTACATCTGCGACGGAAGTGACTCGGAATACAATCAACTGTTGAAGCTCCTCGAGGAAAGCGGAACCGTCTTGCCGCTGCCAAAGTATGAAAACTGGTGAGTGACAATAAAAGATAAATTACAATAATTAATTATAATATAATCAAATATAATATAACGGTAATAAATAACCTTGTCGTTATTTCTAGCAAAGATTTTCTTTGGCCTTTTCCCAGCATCTAAAATAACCGGCTTATAATAATTAGGCAATATGCATAGAATGTATTCTGAACATATAGGAGATTATTTGATATATGTAATTTGACTTGTTCATTTTATTTGCTGTTTCATATTTGGGGGGTTTTAGTTGGCTCGCTAGAACGAATCCAGCGGACGTGGCACGCGTCGAGAAACGCACGTTCATCAGCACCGAGTCGAAGCGTGATACGATCCCTATGCCACGCGATGGTGTTACCGGAGAACTGGGTAACTGGATTTCTCCGGATGACATGGACAAGGCTATTCTAGAACGTTTTCCTGGATGCATGAAAGGTCAGTTACTCCCGGTTGTAAACTTTCGTTTATTCTAAAACAGACAATCGTATTCACAGCATTAGTCATTTTTTCATATAAGAACAATATAAAGATATAGAGTTTGTCTACATAGAAATTTTTAAGAGCAGTAATTTTTTAACAGAAATTATTTAAAAAGTGTTTAGAAACTTAAAAATTCATAAGTACAGATATATCAAATTTATGACAATAAAGAATGACAAAAACATCTTCCAATTTTCCACATATTCCACTGACTGTAATATGTATCTAGAATCTAGATACATTATAATGTATCTCAGTCCTAAACATTCCATAGTAATATAAAGAGCGTCTATCTAGTAAAAAACAATCTAAAACATCTAATACAATTACTAAACGCAGACAATAAACCAACAAACATTCTATAGGTAAAACAATGTACGTTATCCCATTCAACATGGGTCCCCTGGGATCTCCTCTGTCAAAAATTGGAATAGAGATCACCGACTCTCCGTACGTGGTCTGTTCGATGCGAATAATGACCAGAATGGGAAAGAAAATTCTCGACAACCTTGGGAACAACGACTTCGTCAAGTGTTTGCACTCCGCCGGTGTACCAAAATCAGATTCAAAAGTCGCCGTGATGCCTTCATGGCCGTGTGATCCTGAGAGAACGATCATCCTACACAGACCGGCGAAAAACGAGATAGTTTCTTACGGAAGCGGTTACGGTGGAAATTCATTGCTGGGCAAAAAATGCTTTGCCTTGAGAATCGGCTCGACGATCGCCAGGGACGAGGGATGGCTTGCGGAGCACATGCTCGTACGTAACACTGTGTAATCATGCTTATTTTTATGTTACATAATACCTATTCAATCATCTATACACGAAACCTTGTGTACCTGATCAACTTCGCTAGTTCATAATTGATCAACGATTATCAACATTGCTTTATTTGTTAATATTGTGCTGGGTGAAATTATCTTTCACCGTCATTCATTTAATGAAATTTCTGAAAAGGTGGAGGGATGCTCTCAGAACACTATGCTCTATTTTTTATATGTACCATTCATTGTCATATGTACCATTCATATTTTCTTATATCATTAAGGTGAAGGAATCTTTTAGATTCCTAAATTTTTGAATTCCTAATCACTCAAATTTCTAACTTACTCGACACACTACTTCTTTTCAATCGTTACTCAGTGCTTACGAGTTTGTCATTCGTCTAAAGAGATTCTGTATCAGTTACCTTTTCTAGATACTGGGTATTACGAACCCAAAAGGTAAAAAACGTTATGTCGCCGCCGCGTTTCCGAGCGCTTGCGGAAAGACCAACTTAGCAATGATGCAGCCGACTTTGCCGGGTTACAAAGTCGAGTGTGTTGGCGACGACATCGCTTGGATGAGATTCGATCAGGAGGGAAGACTTCGCGCTATCAATCCTGAAAATGGGTTCTTCGGTGTGGCACCTGGAACCAGCTACGCCACTAATCCAAACGCTATGAAGACTATCTTCAAGAACACCATCTTCACCAATGTGGCGACTACCGGCGACGGTGGTGTCTTCTGGGAAGGATTGGAAAAAGAAGTCAGTGAGGACATTGAGGTATAGCAATCACCAATCTTAATAATAATTTTGTATAATAGTAACAGTGTTAAATATTAAATTGTTCCATATGAAGTGATCAATTTTGAAATATAAAAAGCCTGACATTTAACAGCTGATTATGTAAGAAATATTTCAACCAGATTACTGATTGGCAAGGCAAAAAGTGGACCAGAGGATCCAAGACACCTGCCGCGCACCCAAATTCCAGATTCTGTTCGCCAGCTAGCCAGTGTCCCATTATTGACCCAGCTTGGGAAGATCAATACGGTGTTCCCATAGATGCTATCCTTTTCGGTGGTCGCAGACCCGAGGGGGTCCCTTTGATTTATCAAGCAAGGAACTGGCAGCATGGTGTCTTCATAGGAGCCGCAATGAGATCCGAAGCGACTGCTGCTGCAGAACATCAGGTACATAGTCAGAAGTAATCTATTTACACTGTTTGAGCCTTAATATAGGTGCAACATTTGTGTGATTGTTAGGAGTAGGGAGGTCTAATCTCCTTAGATTTCCTTTAGGTTCTAAGTCTCTTAGATTCTATGATCCTAGATGATATTAGGTTCCATGACCCTCTTTAACTTTTACAATATAAGGATTTATGATCTTAGGATTCATGACCCTCTCTAAGTTTTACAATATAAGAATTTATGACCTTAGGTTCCATGACTATCTCTAGATTCCATGACCTTAAATTGTATAACTCTAGGTTCCATGACTCTTCCTTAATTCTATGATCTAAAATTCTATAACTCTAGGCTTCATGACCCACTCTAAATCCTATAATCTAGATCCTATGATTCTCTCCAGGTTCCATAACTCTTCCTAAGTTTTATAATTCATCTAAGCATGATCATGATCTGCCTCCTCCAACAATATCTTTGTCAAGCAAATATACAAGAACTAATATATACTCTAAATGATCAGGGTAAGGTAATCATGCACGACCCATTCGCGATGAGGCCCTTCTTCGGCTACAACTTCGGCCATTATGTCAGCCATTGGTTGAGCATGGTCAATGTGGAGAACGCTAAACTACCAGCAATATTCCACGTGAATTGGTTCAGGAAGGGAACGGACGGTAAGTTCCTCTGGCCAGGATTCGGCGAGAACTCCCGGGTTCTGGATTGGGTTCTCCGCCGGATCGACGGCGAGGACATCGCTGTTAGTTCTCCGATCGGTCTTCTGCCGAAATTAGACTCCTTCAATCTGGATAACATGAAAGAAAATCTTAACATGCAGGAATTGTTTAGATTGCCAAAAAGTTTCTGGCAAAAAGAAGTTGAAGATCTTAGAAAGTATTTCGATGCGCAAGTTGGCGACGACTTACCGGAAGCCATTCGCTTCGAGCTCGATCAGCTTGCTCGTAATATTGAACAGCTTTAATTATTTCATTTTTAAATATTTTTCAATGTTCTTTTTAATTCCAATGAAATTGATTTTGATTTATTATGATCTATTACGTCGACACTTAATTAAAATTATTCAAGGTCGATTGAAATTTTATAAAAATGGAGACCTACTTTAAATTCTAGGTGGATTAGTTTCTGGTACGGGTGTCTGGTAATTATTTACAGTTTTAACGTTAAAACGTGAACGTAGTATTATAACGCTTTTTTTACTCGAATGCAATCGTCACAGCTGCCCCTGAAAATTTTCAATTGTCCTATTAACAAAAATAATTTCTGTGATATGTATACGTATCTAAATGCATAATTCGTGAGTTTTGTCATTTTATTATAAAATTTGACGATATGTGATAAACGGCTTTAAAACATGAAAATTTGTAACTAATAAATTCGAAGTTTATGTGTCGATCAGTAAACAAAATATTTGACTGTTTGCAAAGTGCTTACTTCTTATAAATAAATATCAGGTGCAGGATTCTGGTATCATCATTATTGAAACATGTTGATGTTTTCAGAAAATTTTATTACTTCAATTTGTTTTTCGTGTTCATCGCTGATATGGGCGTTTGGCAGAATTTCTTCGTTTTATGATTACTTGAAACAGTGTGAGAGCGTAAAAGTGTGCAATGAATGTCAAGTGTAGTCTCCGCCATGATAAAGCGGGGCCATAAAATTCTTCGAAAGATATGTTAAATCCAGGCATTGGCATAGCAATTTAGAGGAGATAAAAATTGAAAACTTCGACCAGAATAATATAAGTTCATGTCCTGGAAATATTTACTTCAATGGGCGCCACTTGCAATGACTCTTTTTATGGCCACCATACTTATGGCGGGAACTACGAAACGATTATGGCAGGAACATATGTAGATATTTTTTGATTAAAATTTTTTAAATAAAGTTTCTAAAAAAAAACATTCTTTGCATTTCTTTTTTCATCCCTATCACCAACAGATGAAAAACAGTGATAGAAATTTTATAAATTTAAGTTAATAACCTAAAATAAAATGCACTAAATCGTTCTACTAATCATTTTTATTGATCCAATATTTTAATTGTCTAAGTACTATCGATGAAAGACATTTAAAACTGTACATTCGGTTACATATATGTTACAGGTTGTGGTTCGTATAATTAAATAAATTTATTGAAATTTAATGGAACATCGGATTTCAATCGATGGGTGTTATATTTTAAATTATAACGCAGGTTATATGTATATGTCGAAAGATGATACATTTCACCCTTAAAACAAATTCATATATCATACCCGTATATTAAGTATCGAGAAACAAGTCACAGAAGACTGTCATGTACGTCGAAAATATAATATATGTATATGTATATATTATTTATTTCATTGTCTAATTTGTTTAAAATAACTAATAGGAAAATGTATTGCGCGTATCAAACGCGTTTCGTCGTAAAACAGAAGGATTTAGACTTTACTCAACGCGATCTTCATTCAAAATATTGCATCTTCTCGAACAACTGTTTTCTGTTTTGAACTTTCACATCTTCTAGAAATTTAATTATGTAATATACAAATTAAATACTGACCAACTGAAATAGCTAACGTGAATCCATTAAATTTGTTACATTATGTTTACTAACAATAAGTTGATAAAATGTTGAGTAGTAATAATTTAAAAATAAGAATACCTTCATTTAACTTATAAGATTAATACAATTTTAAAAACGTAGTTAAACATTTTACATGATTTAATTCTAGGATTTGCATTGATTAATTTCTAAAACCTTCCAATTTGGTTACTGAAATCATAATAGAGAAGATCTCTGACACGTACACTACATTTTTATTATTTTTTACTTTCATGCAGTTCTACTATTAAAAGACAATAAAATATGTCTACGAACTTACTCCATTTGTAACCAAAAATCTTGTATACTTTATAAATTTGTGTTCTATACACATATACAATTCTATTTGTCTACTATATTCTTACACTTATGTCATTAAAATTAAATGTAATTTCGCAAATAAAAAGATCACTTAAAACATATTTGTATTAATGAAACATTCGTTCAAATCTCTAATAAGATTAATTAATATATAATTCTGGCATATACTTTGAAGACTAGATGAATGTACTTTTTGTCAGTCCTTAGTACTTTGCACCAATTTTAGATAATTGCACGGATAATAATTGCATTCATTCTCTAGCTTTTTGTTATTTTACAATTCTAATATAACAACTACTGTACAATTGTATGTTATATTTCACAGTAACTAGTATTTATAAACCTCACACTTGAGTAACTTGTGTTTCTTATAGCCATGTTTATGCTATAATCCAAACTTTTTATTCTTGTTCAATTAAAAATTTGTATTCTAATAAGACTTAAAAACTGAAATATGAAGTGATCCTTCTACGAATAACAGTCAAGATTCTAATTATTACAATCTACTAATTGCTTCGAAAAGAAATATACGAAAGAGAACAGTTACTTCGTTATTTTTTGTTTTTATCGTTGTATTTTTTTGTAATAATAACGCTAATTACCTTTAAATTTATTATACTGTATACTAATTATAAGTCACACATTTTGTTAAATTTGTCCTAATTTCATGATACGCATAAATTTAAAAGATGCACAAAGAAAATACCAATGCATAACCTTGCTCCTCTTTTTATCTTAACAGTACCTTTTAGTACTAACAATTTATGAACACATAACATCCGTTTCCAGTAAAATACGATCAATTTCAATGTGCGTAATAAAACAATTATGATATTTAATCAGACAAAAGTCTTTAAGTAATATAAAAATTAGTGCACTATAGTTTATTTATATTTAGTAATATGTTTAATAAACTTTTGTGTCTATGAATATTTACCTGTATATATGTAGATAATTTAAAAAATATGGTTTGAAATATATAGAGAGCTTTAATCATTTACAATATCTTGTGATGTTTGCTGAATAAACGTTCGAATTGCGGCGGCAAGTATTTTATCGAGTTAAGTATTACATCACATTAATTCATATTTAGTTATCATCTAACTAGATTCCGGTATTTTCAATATTTCAATCTATTAAAATTAATTTCGAAGTTCACTTTACGTATATATAATCTGAGTTGTTTAAGAGCCTAAGAAAAAATTGTATACCAGTTTCTTTTAAATAAAATCTCAGGTACATACTTCTCATCCATTATTCTTTCTCACCAACGTTTCCAACGCTCGTGGTATACACGATGGACATAATATTTCTGGTTTAGACGTTTGCAGCAACATTTTTCCTAAGTACTGGGCTGTACATGGAAGAACTAGTGATTCAGATGTTAATAACTCGGTTTCCATCGTCGAAATCACTTCCGTCTTATAGGCAGACAATGGAAAATGATGTCCACATGTGAATATCATTGAGTCTTCTTCAGTAGCGAGAAATCTGTACACTGCGTCTGGATCCTAATTTCCAACAATTTATTTTAGTATCTATTTTTATCTCTTTTATATCAACAAAGAAATTTATCTTTTATTGCAGGATTAACGTATGGGGAAATTTAGATTCACCTTAATATGTACAAATGACCTTGAATCATGAGTATCAGAAGACAAAGTACTTATAACCCCTTCTATCATTTGTTTTGAAGTATTATTTCCGCTCGAGCCCGGATAACCAGTGAGCGGTGGTCCATAATGGTCAGCAGCCAAGGAAGATAACAACTTGATAAATTCAGGTGCCGGTTCATCTGTGATATAAAAGCAATTTATAAAAATGCGCGGTATAAGACGTACATAAAATCTTATATATAAATTTACCTCGATCAATATGATTTAATAACATGGAACACACTTGAAGACAAAAATTAACAGAAAACAAGTTTATCAGGTTGAAGTTCTTGACTTCTACGTCGTTCTTATTTGTATCTAAATATTTATCCATTATCTCTTGACTGTGAAAGTTATAATAATTAATTGATTACGATAATTGCATCTCAAATAATATAACATTAACTTACCAGAATAATAATAATCCAAGGGGGTAAAAAATTGATTCAATATGCTCCAAAAATAAATTTTCTATACTTTGTACGGGTAACTCATGTTCGACCCAGAAATTAAGAGCATCTTGCAACATTTTACATTTGGTTGTATCTGGTTCGTTTTCCATTTCATTCAAGAAAAATTTAATCACTTTTATGGCTTCATTGATAACGTTGTTTTGCCGAGAAGACGAAATCTTTCTTTCACTGCTTTTGCACAATTGATTTTGTTCAGTTGCTTCACTCATAGCAGTAGAAGATGCGAAATTGTCCTCAATGGACCTACTTTCTTTTTCTTGCATCTGTAACTTATTATCTTTAAAAACGAGATTCTCCACCCATTCGTCCGAGTCAGAACTGACATCAGAATCGAAAGAGTTTTCGAAAATTTCTGAAGGCGCGTTTTCACATTTCGCGTCTTTGCATAACTCCTCTAAACCGCCTTGACAATCAAACGTGTACAATTCTTGTTGAAGCAATTGTAAACTGTTCAGTGATTTGCTTGCCGGAATTTTCATTTTGTTCCTAGCAGCACAATCTTCAACGGAATCGATTAAATTCTTTTCCACTTGTTTGTTAAACAATTCTGTGTTCTTTTTAACATTACGAGTTAAAGATTTTGTTTTTAATTCAGTCTCCTCCGCTGTTTTGCGTTCTGCCTTTTCACGTGAATGTTCAGACTTTGTTTTTGAGCAAGAGTGAAGACTCATTAGATGCAAAATTTTTAGCTGATATGAAAATGCCTCAGAAATATTATGTTGCAACAAAGCTATTTTTGAGCAAGCTTGATAATTACCCAGTTCAACGCACTAAAAATGTATAAAGATATCACGTAACTGTTTCGGTTCAACATTATTATGTAACAAAATAATACACAAACCTTATCTATGATTTTTGAAGAATCATATAAACCAGAGAAATATTCGAGCGCATAGTGCAGTGTCAATTCTCCCGATGACCTTTCTATAACGCTTAAGGGGTTAATAACACCCGCTAGAGGAGGTATGTCGTAACTCTGATAAGAAATAATAGGAGCGGGAATGTTAGGAACTTGGCTAGGCACCTCCATGGCTATATGCGAAGTATGGGGTAGTCGTACAACTCGCTTTTTAATCAATACGAGTTTATCGTCGGTGTCGCGTGTATCTTTTGCAGGAAGGCGGCCTAATTGTGCTCTACTGTTATTACCCCAAGCTAAAACTGTACCTCCTAGAATACAGTAAACCATTAGAATTTTACAAATCGAATAATGAAAGTTTGAATTATTTTCTTTTATTAGAATGATGTAGATACCTGGTTGAACAGCAACCGTGTAATCGTATCCACAATAGATACCAACAGTTTTAATGATAGGATTTATTTTTTCCCTTGATTCACTGCTTTCTGCTGGAGACGACTTAGCTTCATCATTTCCGTTTCCATTTTTTTCACTGTTCCCAGAATTTTTCATTCCACCATCCAATTCTTGTTCTTCATCTCGTCTGTGTGAATTGTGTCTTGGAGGTACTTGTGCAAAGATTGAAGCAGGATTGTAACACAACGGAGTGGGGATTGGTACTTCCCTTCTGCTACCATTACCTATTTGACCATCTAAGTTTCGACCCCATGTGTAAAGAGATCCGTCTTTCGTTACGAGAGCGTTATGATGACACCCAGCTGATATCTATCGAAAACCATTGAAACAATGACATTATTTGCCAAGAAACTAATACACTTATAAACCATTTCACAAACCTGTATGATATCCCCTCTCACTAAACTTGTATCCACTACTGTCGGTTTCAAATGTGTTTGAGCTTCTTCAATTGAACCAACATTTACATTCTTCAGGCACACATTATCCAATTGCTTTTTTCGTGAATCTGAGTAACTACTTTCTGTCTGTTTTACTTGTGCATTTTTATTTTGTGCATTACTTTCTGAAACCTCTTCGCTCGTATCATTTGTACACGCTTGATCCGGAACTTTTTCAAACTCGTCGATATTTTCAAACTGCTTTATAATATTGTCGCGTTGTTCTAATATTCGAGCTCTCTTTTGCGTTTGTGCTTGCAATCGAAGAACTTGAGGACTTGCTCCCCACACGTATAACTTATTTGTGTAACTAACGGCAAGCTAAAATTGATATAAGTATAGATAAACCATGTTCGTATAGTAATATTAAATTGTAACTGAAGAAAACATCCTACTTACGTTGTGAAAATATCCAGTTGTAATAAGAAAAATTTTCTCTGGTAACAAGACTTTTATTGGCACTGAACTTTTAACATTACTTCCTACACCCAGTTGCCCAAAAATATTGCAACCAAATGCATACACAATACCCTCTGTAGAAAGAGCTAATGTATGCGCATGACCAGCGCTAATGTAACGTATGACCGTACCAAGTAAAGATGTAATTAATGTGGGAACGATCTTTTTATCGGTATTACCGTGGCCCAGTTGGCCATGAACTCCCCAACCCCATGTAAAAACTCTGCCATCCGCAGTCAATGCAACAGAATGGTACTGACCAGCCACGGCATCAATAATGACTTCTTGAGCCAAATAAGTAATTAATTCTGGCGTTGAACACTGTAAAATTTTGCCCAAACCCAACTGACCGAACCGACTTGATCCCCATGCATAAACACCATTGTTGGTAACTGCTAAAGTGTGACAGTGGCCACATGATACACTGAGAACTTCAACCTCCATGATTTTGAAAAAAGATATAGCTTGTGGTGGTCCATATCTCAATACAGATGGGCCAGTTCCTGAAAATAATGAAGGACATAAAATACTATAAATATAATAACTGATGCATCTTATAATAGCCCATTTGTTTACCTAAACATCCTTGTACAGAACTTCCCCAAGTATAAACATTTCCATTTCTGATGAGAACAACGTGAGAAAATCCAGCACATAATGGCCTTCTTTTGAAATCAGCACCAGAATTAGTTTTATTTCTCTCCTATTTTAATGATTAAAACACATGATTATCTATTGACACAAAACATGAAATACTTTATATGATTATTACCTTTTTAATGTTCAGTAATTCAATGTTACATGTAAGAGAAGATTCTTGATGTAAAATAGATTTTTTATAAATCAAAGTCAATAAAATTAGTAAAAAAGTTTCTATAATTTCTTCTACCAATGTGTCAGCCTCATCCTATGAATAGAATGAAAATATACCTTACATCTTTACAAGTAAATAGGTATAATGAATGCACAAATTATACTCACATTTTCCAAGAGATCTATAGAATCACATTGACTAGATTGAGAACTATGTGAAGTTGTCCTATGACGTAATCTACATCGCACTATCCTAGGTCGTATCACTGGATTCGTTGGATCGTACAGCGTTACTAATCTCTGAATATTCAACAAAACATATATGTATTAAGTTATTCAGATCGATACACTTTCTTTTTGAAGAATAAGAACTTTACCTGAAGTACAAAAATTTGAGAGTCATGAAGATTATCAACAATATATGACATATGACTTCTAGCTAACTCAGGATTTAATAAAATTGCTTGCATTAAATTCGGTTCGCTTATACATATTAACAAACCATCTGAAATGATTTATGAAATGTTTAATTCTTGATGTAACACATTTTCCGATCATTTTATTGCTATTATAACTATTATGCATTACATGGTGTTGGATAGAAATTGCTTGTGCTGAAAGAATGTATTGTCTTCATAAGTATATCCAACATTTGTCCATAAAGACCCTTTTGTGTTGCTAGGTGATGCAACACTTCCCAAAGACACGTTTGTCCCGCAATATTAACTGCTAACAATTCGTCGTAAAAAGAATTTGTAGACAAGAAATACCTATAACATAAATAATTTGCGTTAAACCATGCTTAAAAAGATTTATAAAATATCTAATGAAATACATACAAAAACTCCTTATATATAGCCTTAGACTTTTGAGATGAAATTCTAAGCGTTCGTTCAATAAAAGCAAGAACACATAAGTTAGAAAGATGTATTCTTGGTGCGACAGGTAATTCGCTAATAGCCGGAGAAGCTAAACAATGCGTGAGGCAACGTAATAAATCTGCTGTATATCCGACAGATGCAAACTTCAACATACTTTTCATTATTCTACACTGAAAATATTAAATACAAAAATTATATATAAGTATACACAACCAAATTCTGACACTATTGTACTTACTTTGGACAACTTGTAACAAGCTACTGCTCGTGGAAAATCTTTGTTCATCAAAAGTATGTCACCAGCTTGTTCAAGTAACTGTTGTGCATTAATGCCAAATACTATAGCCAATTTTACTGCTTTCTCAAGTTCATTGTTTTTCAGTACTAATTCCATAAAAATTGACAATATCGGTTTTCTTAAAGAAAAACGTTAACAATGAAAATTCATTGGTCTAAGTTAATGAAACATGAAAGTAAAGGATAAAATACTAACCTTAGAACAACTTTATACACAGAATGATTTGTTACAATTATACAAGTATCTACATGAGGTAATTCAATTTTAATATCATTTATTCCCTTTGGTAACGCGTATTTATTTTTAATCTCTTCAGAAAGTATTGTTGGTGCATTGTTAGTAAAGTCGATAGCTCTGTACACGGCACGTATTACTTCTTTGCTATTCGCTAAAGAAAAGTAACCAACAATACATTCTGGATTAAATTTACCATTATCACTTTTACGAGTTTCAGATAATCTATCTGATACTACATACATTATGCGCTGACTAACGTCAGTAATAAAAAAAAAGCGTTGAGTTAATAAAACGTTTTTACAAGATTCAAATACTTTATGTGCCGATAAAGGAACAGTAGTAAAATTAGGTCCATATACCTGTAATTGCAAAATTGATTAAATGTTATACTCATTACTGTCTACAACTTAAAAATTATTTCCCTACCAGTATTTGATTTGTAACAGAGTGATAACATGTATACAATTGTTGGCCATCTCTATCAGATTGAGACATTAAAAAAACTTCTTTTGACATTACTTCAGGAGTTATCTGATTTTGATTTACTTCTATAGATGGATCAGAATTAATAGTTATATTGTGAGTATTCCTATTACTTGTAATATCTGGAAAATAAATAGATTCATCAATAATCTTGAACAATATTTAGGTGTATTATTTAGTATTGTAAATGTTGCAGACCATGTTGATATTGCAGATATTCCCCTAAAGCTTGACTTTTTGCTTCTATCAACTTTTGTCTAATTATAGCAAGTTTGTCCACAGACAACTGCTTAAGTCCCTGCAACCTGGATCTAGTAGAAGCAAATATTTTTGTATTATCATACATGTTGTCATTTGCATGTAATACACTATATGATTCTCCATTTTCTAAATGTTGCAAGCAACTATATGTACGCTGCTCTAAAAGTAATCTCCACTGTCGTCTAGACTGACTTGTTATGAGGAGAGATACAATGTCATTACTTTGATCGCGACAAATATGCAAACTTGAAATATTCCCCTTAATTTGTGTAACATTTGTTTGATGACCAGTCTCAAGATTTATAAATACAATTTCCCCATATTCAGTTCCAATAATACCAATTTCAGCTGGTATTACCATGCTCTGCCACCATACTATGGCTGTAGGCCTAAAAATATGAAATAAATAAATTATGCAAAAATTTAAAATTACATCTAGTGTAAAGTTTAGTAAGGAAATGTACTTTGAATGGGAAGATTGTGAACTAATAGAAGGAAATGAAGTTATATCATCACTAGTCCATCTGCTATCTTTGTCATAACTTTCATCAACCCAACACAAAGCAGGAATAATATATATAGAGCCATCAACACTTGCAGAAAGCAACCAAGATCCCACTGAGTGAAAACATATAGCTGAGATTTGTTTATGAGATCCTTGAAACCAAGGAATTCTTTTAATTACTGGAGCAGATATAGAATCCCTTTTATAATATAAAAAGATCTCAGCATTTCCAGTCGTAAGAGCTAAAAATAATTTCTTTTCATAATCACATTGAGCACTGTGTTGTATTTCTGTTGCTTTAATCAAACATTGCAATTTAAACAAGCGTTCTTCTGTAAAACTTGTCATTGGCTCAAAGCCCTCTGTGCCAATTTCTGCGATCATATTTCAGATTATTATTGATCTTAGTACTATCTAAAACACATAAATAAAACAAAATGTTAATAACATATCATTATAAGTGCTAATTACATTTCATGAAATATATATTGCTTGAATTTCCATTAATATGTATGCTAATCTTTAATAGTATTAGTAAACAGTACTCAGAACGCAATTTAGTGAATTATATCTTCAGACATTTTTGTAGAATATAATTATTTAAATTAACATAATTACTAGATAGTTCTAAATATCTCTTATAAATTTTGGATGACACATTAAATTATAGTGGAAATGAAAAGTCTAAGCACAAAATAACATTTAATAAATGCTCCTTGCTCTTGAGGATCGTATAACACAGCGATAAAAATATTTAACAATATATTACGAGCTGTTATACCTGTGTTTATATATTTGTAAAATAATATAGTTGACGAGAAGAAAGCTTTGTCTCTTAACACATTCTCGTGCTAAAAATAAATGATTACAAAAGAAACCTAGACCAATTATCACATTGCGCATTCCGTTTAAACGTGATATCCTTTCATATGCAAGAAATGAAGGAATTAAATTATTCACAGTGCATTACATTTTTACAATAACGCCGCCGTCAAATTTCTAAACGTCAGATCATCAAGGTTAGATTACATTGTAACCATAGGGGGAACCACGATAAAAAAGTTAAAATCACTATTCTGTTGTCCAAAATAAATATACTCTGTTCAACAATGAACTGAATTTGTCCTATAAAGAACTTTTGTTCATTTTGCGCATGTTGCCTCTGATTAGTTAGAGTACGTTTCGTAACCATTCGTATATACATTGTGATCTAAATTTCTAAATCTCACTATACCTGATCTATATCTCTTTCCTTTATTCACATATTTTGTTCACCATATATATGGTCGGTGCAGTAAAACTAAAATTCAATTAGGGGAATTTCAAATAGTGGGAAATGAACCGAAGTTAGTCGTGTTGCGCTGTTAAATTTGAGTATGATCTTTTGCCGAATAGAGTATAGAAGTTAAATACTTTATATTGGTAGTAGTTTGCAACACACTTCATCCAGCATTATCGTTTGAAGTGCGCATCGAAAAGATGGTGGATGGTATCAGAAATTATCGATGTATTGAGTTTATTAAGTTTTAAAGGTTTAATAAAACAGTGTATCTAACGTTCTGAACGTCGATTGAAAACATAAAAATGGGTTCAAATAAACGGCATAAAACCGAGAAGAGCCGGGACGCTAAGAAGAAGCGTCACCGAAGCCGCTCACGTAGCTATACACCTGAACGCGAAAAATCGGATAAGCACAGGCATCATAAAAAGCATAGAAGGAAAGAACGCAAGGATTATGACAGTGATGGTTATTATCTGATTCATTCTTTCTAAGATATACAAATACATTATACGATGCATTTTTCAATGTCGCTAGCTTTTTTTTACAACTCCAATAATCGATTGTTTGAACTATTTTTTCTATTTGTATCTAATAACTTCCTTCCCATCGTGTTGAAAATGTATCGTGTTTTATCCGCAGAAATGTACTTATCAATTTCGCATACAAGATTAAGTAATTCGATGGGGATTGAACCGAATAATGTTTATATTTTACATAGGTACATAAGCATTTACTATGATGAACATACTTGTTTAATGTCAGTTAATACCGTGTTCATTTTATTTCAGTCGAAATAGTTAATGCACCTCCCCCACCAAAAATTTCTAAGTCATCACATCCATCAACACCTCCACCTCCTGAAATTTCTAAACAACGCAGTCCTTCGCCGATCAAAGGTGGTGCAGCACAAAGCTCTCTATCCATTGAAGAAACTAATAAACTACGAGCAAAGTTAGGTTTGAAACCATTAGAAGTTGATAGTGGTCCAAAAGATGATCCTAATAAGATTAAAGACGATTTGGGAGAATTTTATCATAAACCTGCCCCTGATGTTAATGAAAAGTTAAGGACACAAAAATTAAAGGAGAAGATTACTGTTCAGAAACAGAAAAGGCTCATTGAATCTAATTTATCAAAAACTAAGACCTTAGGAGAATGTGATTCTGATGATGATGCTGAAGTTTGGATTGATAAAACCAGACGTTTGGAAGAGGAGAAGAAAAAAGCAGAAGAAAGGGTAAATTTACATTTTAAATATTTGAAATATTTCTAATAATTTATGTGAGAATCATCATTTTAATGTTTTATTTTTATTAGGCAAAAATGTTAGATCAGTTAGATGAGGAATTTGGCATTGGAAATTTAGTTAAAGAGGAAATACATGCTGCTCGAAATACAGCTTATACTGAAAAGAATTTAAGGGGTCTTAGAGTAGAGCATGATATTGTAAGTAATTGTATCTTCTTATTGGATAAATGTATCAATCATAAATATTAAGTAATTTACTTTATTTAAATGATGTTTAACAGGATAAGTTTGAAGAAGGTAAAACAATTATATTGACTTTAAAAGACCAGGAAGTTTTGAAAGAAAATGACGACGTACTAGTCAACGTAAATATAACGGACGAAGAACGTTACCAACGTAATATTTTAAATAAAACTAAAAAACCTGGTTATGATGCATATGATGATGATAACTTTGATGAGTTTGGTATATCTAAGAAGTCTATCTTAGAAAAATATGACGAAGAAATCGAAGGCGAGAAGAAAGATTCTTTTGTGTTAGGGACTAATAATATAAAAGATACTAAGCAGAATAAACTTGATTATGTCAAGCAGCGTTTAGCTAATAAGCGACTAGAATCGTTACAGCTAGCAGAGCCAAAATTAGCTAGTGAATATTACAATGAGCAAGAACTTGCAAAGTTTAAGAAACCAAAGAAAAAGGTGAATTTTCAAGATGATATTTTTATAACTTTCTAAGACAATGTACATCCCTTTAATTAATATGTTGCAGGTTCGAAAAATTAGGAAAAAATTAAAAGCAGAAGATCTGGTTCCTGAAGATAACGATTATCTTCGTGATTTAGGAAGCAGAAGAAGTAAACGACCTAAGGATATAAAAGATAACGATAGTTTAGACGTAGATGACTTAGAAGGTATTTTTCATTAATTTTTAACAATTACGTTACTTATTTAACCGATTTTTTCATTTTTAGCTCCTCCTGAAGATCTTAGTGGAATTAAGTTGGAAGAAGATGATAAAGAATTAGAGTTACAGTTAGCACTCAAGAAAGCTCAACGTTTGAAAGAATCACAAGCATCAAGTATTGAGAAAGTTGTTGAAACTATAAAGCAAGAACCTGCTGGTTCTGAAGAAAGTCAATCTGGAAATATTGTTCTTAATGCCACCGCAGAATTTTGTAGAACTTTAGGAGACATTCCAACTTACGGACTTGCCGGAAACAGGGAAGAAAATGGGCAAGAACTTATGGTATTAACCGGTTCTTCTTTATATCCTTAAGTGTTATTTGATATATTCTTTTACAATTAATATTGCAGGATTTCGAAATGGATGGAGTTAAAGAAGAACCACCGGTAAATGACGAAGAAGATGATGGTCGTGGCGCGTGGAATACTGTGCAATTAGGTATCAATTGATCAGTTAAATATACAGATTTTCCCATTTCTGTAATACTTATAAATCCTATTGTACTTTATGAACAGATGAAAGTATAACAGAGCCAGTAGCGATGGAAGCTGCAATTTTGGACGCAGAGCCTTCGCTCGGACATGGGGTTGGTGGTGCACTAAAACTCGCAATGAGTAAAGGTTATTTGCAAAAAGAAGATAGTAGTAGACCATCTGCGTCTCGTTTCGCGCATTTGCAGGCTCAGAATTATTCGATAGAGGACAAAACTTACGGGTATGTATGGATCATAACTATCGTTCGATATAAGAAGCTTTCTTACAACGCATTTGCAAATGAACGAGTCCCATTACGAGCGATTGTAAGAAATATTCTTCTATTGAATGCACTCCAAAGGAATCTTATTAGACGAGTCTCTAGTGAATTTCACTGTTAGTTAACAGTCGTAAATAGAGCCCGGATTTCGGTGCTCGGAAATGGATGATCCGCTACCGCAAGAGTTAACTACTTTGTCGGAGATGATCAAAGGCCAGAGAAGAGAGTAGGATTAATTGAGGTATGTTTATATTATGCGATTCTATTGTTGCCAGCGAGATTCGTACAAGCGTTCTAGACAAGTCCGGTATGGATAAAAATCATGTTAATTTATTTAATATAAAGATAATTTCGCATATATATTCATTAACGGTATGGTTTTACGTTATTCTTTTTTTTTTTATATTACATTTGCATGTTTCAACATACAAAGTATGACGTAATTTGTGTAAAAAGGATTTTAGATTAATTTTAAAGTAAATTAATTGAGTGCTTAAGGATGCAATTTATTTATTTATTTTTTTTTTCAAATAAAAGTTTGTCTTGAATCAAGTATATATTTAATGCTGATATTTTTATTGACTTGTTTAGATTCGTGTTGATTTAATCGCATAATGTAATGTATCTTCAAAACTTCAATAGTCTGTTTTTTAATCGCCACATATTTATAAAGTATTGATATCCTTGGTAACTTAAATTTCGAAACACCGAATTCCATGGGCTACTATAAATGTTTATAATTAAAACGACTGCCTATGTTATTTATATCCTGCTTAGCATAAGTAATTTCATCCATGTTTTTCTTTCCAGAGACGACGATAAATTCGGTAGAAGAGACCGGTTTAATGGCCCAACTTCAGAATTTAAGGAAAAAGATGGTTTCAAGCCTAATGTGAAACTGGAATATATCGACGACGATGGACATGTATTGAGTGCAAAGGAAGCTTTCAGATACCTTTCACACAAATTTCATGGAAAAGGTCCAGGAAAAAATAAGGTCTGTACTTTCTCTATATTTTATATTCGTTGTTATACCTTGGACGTCACGACTGCATAATTTTATAATTTTTAGGTTGAGAAGCGAATGAAGAAGGCGGAGCAAGAAGTTTTAATGAAACGTATGTCTTCTACAGATACACCTCTGGGTACGCTTAATTTATTACAGGCGAAACAGAAGGAAACTCAATCGCCATACATAGTGCTTAGTGGAAGCAAGCAGATGCAAACGTAAGGCTATTTTATGTTATATACATAATGAAATGTGGCTTAAAAATGTTGGCTCATAAAAACTATGGTTATTTTTTTCAGGACTAGTATATCAAAGTCAAAGCATTAAAGATTTTAAAGTAAACTTCAGTCAGAATTGTATATAATATACAGGCAGACAGAAATCTTTTATCAGTACATCTTTAAATCAGATAATACATTAATCGCTGTAAAATAAAAACATTGCACCTTTTTTTGATTTGTTAAACTACATGATAATAAAGTAACTATTATATGAATTTATAAAAGAGGCTAATCCTTTTTATATCCTTTCTTTATTGTTTTTAGACACATCAATCGTTTGACGGCTTAAAATATTAGTTTTAATAAGATAATTACTTAATACATCATAAAAATTGATATAGAGAAACTTTATATTTTTAACTCTTTACGGATGATATGGCCCAAATATTTATATTTGGTAGGAAGGTCTTTGAGACGTTGTTTATAATTATTCCTTTTTTGGTACAATTTTCAGTGTTTTGAACGTGTGTATAAAACAATACGAACAATATTGTTCTGTTCGATGGGGCATTTTGTATTCTTACACAAAATATGTTTATTTTAATTAAATAAATTGACTGCTATCACAATAAAATTAAGTGGGGAACAAACGATGTTCACAACTATCTCTTATTTTTTTACTATATTGGTTGAAATAATACGATGCCTATGCTAACAGTAACATGTGCATAAAAACTATCAATATATTAACATTACTCCCATTTCTATACTCTCAATCACAATTTATAGTTAATTTCTAATAGCCTATTCGTACAAATCACTACATGGAAGATATAAAGTTGAATACTACAAAATATTTTATTGTTCCTAATGATATACTATATAAACATTTGTTGAACATACTTCGTTCACTATGAAATAGTATTATTGTGAGATTGAAAATATTTGTTGTTCCGTTGAATGAGAAGACACGCGATTAATCATCAATGAAATATATGATAACATTCGCTACCGATATTTACTGAGTATTTTTACAATTTATATCGGTATCATGCTCTTGAAAAATGGTAACGATCGATTATTATAAGAATGCTAAATGATATTAAATATATCCCTGATATCACAAGGCTTTCCTTTGTGCAAAAATAGTAATACTTGATTCTTTGAATCTTATGTAGTGCACAATGATCTTATAAATTGTATTTTATAAATATACCTCCAACTGTAGACAATACTTTTAAGACTTGCTCTTTATATTCACATCTTTTTTTTCTTTTTGAAAAGTTTGGCACTTCTCCTGACGGTTTAGACAAAAATAATAGGAATTTCTTTTAATTATAAAGCATAAGATATATTTTCTATTGTTAGCTAGATTTTTGATCAGCTTCAAAAGGTTATCAAAAATTTAAATTAGATTTTCATTAATTACTAAAGCTAGCATCTTTATTGATAAATAAGAATACTGGGTAACTACAGGCTAACAATGAAAAATATATTATTGATCTTTTATTCAATATTTATTTCTTAATCGAATTCCTATTAATTTTGTAATAAACTAATATACAATTTAATACTTACTTTATGTTAAGGATATGGTTCTCTATTCGCTGAATTCTAAGAAACTTATATCAGTAACACGCTGTGTATCGTCAAACCGACGAACTTTAATATATTATACTTTACGAATATTTATCTACAAATCTGTTGTTTCACAGAATTCAACAGATCTAATATCTTTGTGTTACTACTATTTTAGACAAATTTCTTATTATCAGCATATTTATATGCTATAATTAAGTAAATATTTCTTATTCTTTTTTACGCGTCAAGATTAATATAAATTATACGAATTAGATGAATATTTTTATAAATAGGTATGAACTCGTACGAATCCTTTCTAAGTTTGTTCTTTTTTCTTATGTACACTGAGGTGCAAAGTAGGCTTCCCTTGGTTAACGATAGAAGGATAAAGAATACCACCCGTCATCAATTTTAGAAGATTAAATATGAAAACTTGAAAGTTACCAAATTTCAATATCCTAAATTGTCAAAGATTAAAATTTTTTAATTTATAAATTTTAAAATCGACGAATGTTAGTTCTTTCCCTTATATCTATTTTCTCTAGGGAAGCTTACGATACTCGCCATTGTATACAATATTTATATACTAAAATATTCAACTAATCTGACAACATGTCAAATCTGTATAATATATTATAAATTGACTTGATTTTCTTTTCGTTCTTCGCAAGGTATTAAAATCATTGGTATAAGTACCGTAAAAGGGAAGTGCGAGTGTCAGCGTTTCGGTCGACAGTCAGTTGAACAACGCAGTTGTTTAAAAAATGAAAACCGATCATCGTATCAAAAGTGTTGTATACAAGACGTAACTAATGCAGTACGAAATGTGGAGGTAAACGATCGAGCGCATAATACAGTTGCTAACGATTAGCTTTTTGGGTAGACTTTTCTCAAGTTGGTTACCTTCCAAGATATCTTCCTTGAACGCAACATCATAAGTAATTGTTATCTGTTCAATGTTTCCATATTTTGATTCTGAGCATTCTTGCTCACAGCTTCATCTTGACCACTTGGACTGGGAAGTCTGGTCGGTTTGAGCGACTTTAACTTCGTCGTACCGCCATATCTGAAGTTCACGTCGCTACAGGTATCTAAAGGATGCATCGTACCCTTCAAGTTCGTCCCGTCATCGTCTGTCGTGACTTCCAGCTTGGTGGTTGGTACTTTCTTAATCGATCCCAACTCGTACGCAGATTTGGATGACTTCAGCTTCATCTTCGCATTCAGTGGCAGCGAAACAGATTTCTCCAAGTTCACCTCTTCTATCTTGAGGTTGTTATCGTTCTGCACAACTTGTTCGTTGGTCGAGTTCATTGCATCAGTAATCTGGATATCTATGTTGACGGTTTTTGGATCATTTTCATCGTTACGAATGGTCTGTTCAGCGTACTCGTTCCTAAGGGCAGCCAACTGAGCTCGTTGCTTTTGAATATGGTTGTGCGAATTTGAGAAGAACGATGAGACCCTCTCGAGCTTGGTAGCCAAATTTGGTTGGCTCAATGTAGATTTCAGAGGATAAGGTGGATCTACCACGTTATTGTTTTTCATGAAGTTGTGAGATTCTCTACCCGTGGAATTGCTTTTTATCATTCCTAGTTTCTGGTTGTCTTCGATCACTTTCAAGGGATACGATCGACCAGTCGCGTTCCTTCGTTTCTCAGCGAGACTCAGCTGTGCAATTATTCTACGAATCTCTCCAGGAAATTCGATGTCAGGTCTAGTTTCGGATAATTGTTGAATAAACGCACCTAAAGTTGCGACAGTCACTTCTAAACTGCGATTCTGAGACTCAAGTTTCAAGAGAGTTGATTGTTGCACGGACCGCGCAGTTTCCAGACGATGCAAATTGCTCATGGTGATCTGTGAACATAGTTTGGGCGAATTAGACTTTGAAATGATGTTTTACTGGAAATAAGACTGATCTCTAAATGTCGTACTTCTAATTGCTCATTCAGCTGTGCTACTTCTTGGGTAAGTTGCTTGTTAAGCAGTTTAAATTTCTCCAAGTTTTCCATCTGTGGTTTCACAGACATCATTTCTTCTTGTAGTACTTGGTACTCTACTCTGTATTCGTTCAACTGCTTCGTGATCTCTTGGTCTGGATAAAACACGCGCTTCATCACTCGATCCAAAACCTCTTTATCGACAGCTGGTACTCGCGTCTAGAAATAAAAGAAAAATAAAACCTGTCTGACAAACTTTACTTAAAGAACAAAACTTTTCCTTACTTTAAGATATTCCATGATTTCTTCAAAGCTATCGCACGTTAATAATTGATCTTGATGTTCTTCCAGTAATGCCATCGATACACGGAAAAGTACCTCCGTACTTTCCAAAAAAAGTAAATCTGTAAAAATAAATATATTTATATTAGAAATATTATAAACATACAGGGTAGAAACTTCTTTGTATTTTTTAATTTACCAAAAACTCGGGTTACAAAACCCAGTGGAAATTGACTCGCGAACAAGGTCAACAGCCATGGGGCAGCATATAATGTAGGCGAAACTTCCTGTTTATCGAAATGGTTATAAATTGCCGGTAACCTATCATGCAGCAATCTGGATAATTGATATAAGTATAGCTGCAATGCTGCCATGTCAGGAAGATACAATTTCCTTAGGCCTCTTCGGAACATTAGATGCCGTAGAAGAAAAAATGCTTGGTCTTCAGACATCTAATAAAATAATAAAATAACGTACAATCCAGAAGAACAAGATTGTTAACTTAAAACCCTGATGATTACAACGCTTACATGTAATAAAAGAACGCCAGCAACGAAACTAAGCCCCTGGCAATAGCCAACTTCGTGATCCAAAAGCGAATACGCTTTCAATAAATTGAACAACGCTAATTGACCTGGGCCTAGAGGTGAACTAAAATAAGGATGATTGGGAAACGTCCGTCCCAAATCGATTAAAATTGCATGTTGTTGCGAGGTAAGTTGCTTCAAGAGCAACTCATACGGTGTATTATAGTTAGGAAAATCGCGGGTGTCTATGGGCGGCTGTTTCAAACAAAATTGTTCGGCTAAGAATTGCCACACTTCTCCTCTTTTACCTTTTGGTACACCTAAATCATATAATTCTCAATGAAACTATATGTCATTTTATTAGTTTCATTTACTATAACATGAAGTCTCCTGACAATTTACCTTGTTTAATAGCGTGTAGCAACATTTGATTATCACATTTTGTGGAAACTCTTGATTCTTTGCTCACGAGAAGATCCCATACTTCTACCAATTCACGAGCACAACTACTAAGCTCGTCGTATTCTAATTTGATTCTCTTAACAGTTGCTTCTTCTTGACGTACTGAAATAAAATAAAAGATTTTAAGTATATTGGTTGCAATATATACAATTAGTTTACTTAGAACAAGTTGATTAGTATTTTATACCTCTAAGCCTTGCGTTTTCTTTCTCCATTCTGATAAGTATTAACTGTTGATTGATTGCTTTCTTCCAAAGATCCCTTAATTCCTGTTTTGTTCTGCGCTTCGGAACTGTCTGAGGAGTCTTAATGATACCCATGTTCCCAGATTTATCGTTTTCCTTCTCGTGATCTTTACTAGGAGTCACGACTCGATTCAATATAGCTTGTCTCCAGGAACTGTTCGACTGAACAGGACTGTTTCCATCGGTCTCCGTCGGTGACATTTTTGGCGAGTTTCCTACCTTTAGAAATCTATGAAAGAAAATGATAGTTTTAAACATATATAGTTGAAGAAAGACAATTCTTATGGCTTCTGGTAAATATTACATACATGTCCATCATAGAACTCTTTGGTCCAGTGTTCACAGTCAATTGTTGTTCAGGTGAAACCCTTAGAGACCTTGGTCTGCTAGCTTCCGGTGAGATATCAACTATAGACGGATGTCGTGAATTTTCGGGGCTTTGGCTACCGCTTTTTTGTATCACAGCATTGAGGTGGCTCGTATCTCTCAAATGCGAGCCAAGACCGAGGTCATCCCGCGAACCCTTCCTCTTCATGAGATTATCAAAACTATTTGTAAGCGAGCGTTTCGCTTTCATGAATATTGTGCTTCCGACACCCACGCTTAAGTACTGATTTAAAAATTCGCTCCTACATAATGTACCATAAATAAAATCCAATTAACAATTTCTATCTTGACATTGTTATTTTAAAATTCTATATATAACAATACCTGTTCTCTGCCGTATCGTGAACATGTCTGGCTTGTTTCGCTTCGCAATGGGCGCGTAACAGCCTCATTAAAAACTGATTTTGTTCGCGTAAAGTTGTACCCGTGCCGCCAGCGGACTCGGCGCTTTTGTATTTGTTAACCACGATTTCCTGTTCGTCCTCCGGCAGCAATTCCATTCGCGAGAAGATTATACTCTGGGTTCTTCTGTCGTTCTGGCCTAGCAGTCAAGAAAGACACGCGAACTCATTATCTGTACTGGGTCGCAATTTCGTTGCAAATCAAAGAAACGGAAAGAATATGTATGCAAAATTACCATCGATTTCCTGGCACAGCTTGTTGTACCAGTACATAGGGCAGTGTTCGCATGAAAACACAGGATATCTTTCTTTCCTCGCGACATCACACGTCCCAACGAACGCTTGCGAAATAGCTATAACAAATAACAGGTTTATGTTCAACTGCACGTTCAATTTCAGTTCTAAAAAATATATAAATATGCTCAGCATGTATTCTAAAAGTACGAACAAAAATAAAAACTTGGCTCACCAGCAACGAGATCGTCCGCGACCGATTCTGACTGACACTTGAACACATAGCCGATAAAGCAGTCTATCGTATTTTCTTTGCAAATAAAACCAAAGTGTTCCGGATTTTTCACGCCTTGCACGCAACTGGCTACGTCCCTCAGCTGTTTGTGAAGCAGCACTTGCTTTCTATCCGGACTGATCAATCTCAAATCATGTCTGCCTACCTGAAATTCATTCTCTGATCAAGATACGTGTGCTGGACTCACTAAATAAAAAATCGATTAAATTTCACACCTGAAAGAGCATTGTACGGTTGTGCTCATCTCCCGCTCTAGCCATGGAATCTCTTCTGGGATTCAGTACGCTGCCAGTAGAGGATGCTCTGTTTCGCATCACTTCTGGCACATGCATGGAATTGTTGTTCGTGGCATCCCGATTCTCCTCGCGTTCCTCTTTCTCCGCGAGACTGGCATTTTGCGGCTTTGGAAAGGTCTCCACCGAACCGGTGAGTGTCGACGCCACTCCCAAAGGATTTATAGGTGATATGATTCCGCTTCCTGAGACATTCTCGATACTTCCGGTTTCGCTCGCGCTCGATTCCTGCAACGACAGTGATTTATTAATATTTATTCAGTTTAATTTTTTATTCGTTAAATATACTCTTGCTATAGGGGATGTAGCAAGGGAACATTCTTGAAACTGATAATATCAGAAGAGATCCTTCGATGGTTACATAAAAGACACACCTTTCCAAGCCTCGATGACTTTGAAATATCTTGTCAAGATCAATATTCTGAATAACTCTGTGTATGTAATCACCTATCGATCTTAGTTTATGAGATATACGCAAAAAACCTTTATTAGATTTACAATACATAGAACATTTTTTTTATATTTGCTATACACAAGTAGACTACATTTCAGCATATCACCGTTCCATGATAAAGTGAACGTATGATCATAAACTAAGATCGAGCAGTTATGTGCAGGAAAAGGTTCAGAATGTCGTCCTTGACAATATATTCCAAGGTTATTGAAATGCCTTTCCTATACCACCGATTCATACAGCGCTTAAATGTTTACGAATTTGCAAATTTCTAAATGCGAACATTTGAAAGTTTGCCAGTTTAAGTTATGAACTTGAAAATGTCTAAATTCGTATTCGCTTAGTTGTCCATCTGCTTTGCATCTCATCGCTGCATTTGAACCCATGACTGTTCTAACGTAACAGTGACTAGATATCCTCTCTGGGTGCATTTTTAAAAGTCGATCAAATTTCACAGCCAAAGCTTCTTCTAAAAAATTTTATAGAGAAAATACATCTTTCGATTAGTTTTAAGAGGATTGTATAAAAAGAGAAGGTTAAAGCGTTAGATGGAGAAGAAAATAGAAGAGAGTGAAAGATAACTGGCTCACCGCGCTGTTTCTCCTGTTATTGGAAGACGTTAAAATTGATTGACGTTGATACTCAGCGAGGATATTGTTCGTCGATGATCTCGATTTCTCAAGACCGTGAACACGAAACCTTACTAGCGCATCGTCGATAAAGGCCTCCGATACCTTTGGATGCGATACCTTGATTTTGCCCACGTAAAGCACCTGGAAGTAAAGTCGAATTAATAATTCGCCGGGAAATCGAATTAGCCGTCGAGTTTTACCTCAAAAAAGTGGGAAGAACTGGGTGATATGTCAGCACCTAGAGACATCAGGCTGGCAGCGCTGCTCTGCGATCTTTGAGGCACATCCCTGCCTTCGAATCGGGACGAGGCCGAGTGTTCCTTCATGTCTCTGAGGAATTGCTGAACCTGGAGACAAAGAGGAGCATTGTGAATCGCAATATCTTGCACGACATGTCATTACACAGCATTCACAGGCTGCAAATTAATCCCCGTCACGCGACAACGGACAACAATCGCATTAGCGATCTTCGTGTTCGCGATCGCAGTCATTGCACCTTAAAGATGCCGTCGATTCATCCTCAAATCCTATTTAAATAATTTGTTCCGATGCAAGCGAATAAGGCTTTTAACCTGATTTCTAAGCTCCCATTTTCAAAAGACCGTCGTTAAAAAATACACCGACCTAATTCACCTTAAAAGACCGTTTTTGCACGTTTACGTAATAAGGTTATACAACGGCACGCATCTGTGCGTTGTACGCCGAAAATTTCTCGACGATCTGAAAATTTACCCAGAAATAGTCCAGGATGTAGCTTTTCTTAACTAAGTAGCTTGTACCATTAATATACAAAACGGATTTCGCAAGAAAACGTGCATCAAACGTGGCCGATGGCCGTGGACCAAAAATAACCATCATTTCAGGAGCACTCGTCGATCACATGGATTTCCTGATATTTTCTTACTCATTTCCTTTCCTCGTTTGTTACTATCAACTCTTCACACGTGCCTTCTGTTGCATACGTTTATCGCACACAATCGATATTTTTTTAAGTGTAATTTTTTGATAATCTATTTTCTCGTGATAGGATATAACATATTTTTTAAATTATTCTGAATATGCATTCTGTTTAGGTAGGTTTATGTTTAGGGCCCATTGTCGATCGGTCACTTTTCATTCGTCAGTAGTCAACCTTAGGTCTCATTCTATTTTGAAACTTTATGTAATTAAGGAATTTATTTATATTGGAATTCAAAAGTAAATAGTCAAGCTATAAACAGATTGAGACTGCATCTCAGAAATTTCAAAACTTGAAAATCGATTAGTTACAAAAGTGTAAAATCACACCGAAATATCTTTCTCAGAAGTCACCCGAGTAACAGAGTCGTTCTTAAACAACCTGACAGGCGAGAACAGTAAAACACAGAAGAAGAGAAAAATTGACAGCGAAGATGGCTAGAGGGCAAGCGATATAAATGAGTCTAGTTCAAAGAACGGAGGAGGAAAAAGAACCGAACAATCGATCTTCGGCATCTTCGCAAGTATAAACAATTTATTATACAAACCGTGGTTGGGTTTCCTCGATATCGTGCGATTAGAGGGATGTCGAAGCGTAAAACTATGGGTTGACACGATCGATCAGGAGACAATTTCCATGAATGAAAAACGAACAAGATTATCTTGACGGGTGGTTATCTTAGCGACCGTGAGGTCTACGGCTGCGACAAGAAAATCTCACTAGTAGTTGCTGACACAGAAAGCAGATCGACACAAAGCGATGGGGCTTCTTTTATCCAATTACTAGACGAGCTCTTTCGCCTTTTTTTTTTATTATTATCCGGCTGGCCCTTCTTTCAGAAAAATATTCAGACGACCGTTGATACACGGCAACGATGAATATTTAAGCGATGCGTGACAAAAATTTTTATTGGTCACTCGGTACGGGTAGATTAGAAAAAGTGTATGAATATTCAGAGATGCTCATCCTGCCGCGTTAAATGCGCTTTTATGATTTGTTTTATGTGCTTTTTCTGAATGGGTATATGTTGCATGCACGGTGGAGATAACAATAGGTCAACGTTTGTGATGCTTTTTGGAACAAAATAGATACATTGTATCCATTATATTCATACACTATTTTCGGATTTATTGTTAGAGGAATGGAAGAATGATTTCTATATCACTAGGTCCTCACATTACCAATATTTCTAAATTCTGTAGAGTCCCTAGATTTCTAAATTTCGATACTCTTCGATTCTTAAATTCCTAGAGCAGTAAATCCCTAGATCCAAATATCCCTAGATTTCGATATTTTCATAGATTCTGATACCCCCAGGTTTCTATATTCCCCTAAATCTCGATATCCCCAGATTTCGATTTTTCCCTAGATCTCAACGCACCCGATTTCAATATTTCCCTAGATTTCGATTTTCCTCTAGATCTCGAAATCCCCAGATTTCAATATTCCCCTACTTATATCACCGAATTTCGATTTTCCCCTAGATCTCGATATTCCCAGACTTGGATATTTTCATAAATCCCAATATCCCTAGATTTCAATATTCCTTTAGATATCGATATTTCCCTAAATTTTGACATCCCTAGATATCGATATTTTCCTAAATCCCGATATTCATAAATTTCAATATTTCCTTAAATCCCGATATCCCTATCACTACCATCAGATCTCGGTATCCCTAGTTCCTCACAGTTCTAGATGTCCATATCACTACATCCTTAAGATCTCTAGTTTCGTATATCTGTCGCCTCTAAATGCCTACATTCCTAGTTCACGTCGCGAACATTTCAGTACGTTGGATACTCGTGTATCCGACTGATCGTCGCCAATTCAAGGTACGCGTGATCATCGAGAGCACGGCTGTGCATCGTGACGCGGATCGATTGAATTCACGTGGAAAATTAGATTGAACGTCTTCGAGATCGACCCTGTGATCTGTTGCGTTCGCGGTTAAATGGAAGCGACCGTTTCGTAAACGGCGATCAGTGAAAACAAGGACGTCTGTTACGAACCAGCTGGGAAAAGAACGAAGAAAATCATTTCCGTTGCGTTTCGTCGACTAGCAATTAATCATGGCAACGAATTCACGCGATCATGAGTTGGACTTCATTGCGAAATCCTCGATGATTAAATACTTCAATGATACATCTAGGGAAGAATATGTATTTCTAAACTATCTGTTTGTGTTGTAACTTCCTCTACCCTCTCACCACGCTCGTTACGTTTTATTTCCAGATCTTGTAAAAGGTATCATTACATAAATTTACTTCAGGATACGCGATCGTGTATTAATTATTCATGAACAGAGACTTAACGGAAACTGTGCCAATTGTGATCGGAGATCTTTTATGAATAATAGCACGCGCGAAGCCATTCGTTACACGTACAAGTAGAATAGATTTGTACGTGTGTGCGTATGTATACAATGTGTATTAAAATTAACAGTTACGTTTGTAAACTGTCTATCTATTTGGATCAAAATATAGTACTGCGTTCTTCATAATTTCCTTCGGAAAACAATGTATAACACTTGTTCGATGTGTACATTACATGTAAGTACATGCACTATACACGAAATTAGCGTCGTTACAAGACGTTATAAACTATGTACATATAATTTAGTTTAACGAACATACGCGGTACAATGAACCACGCTCTTATGATTAAAGTATGCGCGGTATTTGTCTCACGATCGTTCGAGTGAACTTCTATTTGGAAAAGAAACTAGAGCCACGTTTCTATGCGTGCCAGGTGTCGGCCATAATTAAATCCTAATTGCGCCAGCCGGTGGTGTCTCTATGCTTCGTTTCATTCGATTTCACGCTGAAAAAGTAAACCTAGATCACGTGGAAGGTCTTTGATCCTGGTTGACACAATTTCCATTGAAATGTCGAAGAATGCGTCATGGGCAACCGCAAATACTTTTACGAATTAAAATAACGATCCTTTCGCGACCGTGCACGCGCCATAACCGAATGCGCATAAATTTTCTACCGATCAAATCTTACAACCTGAAATATTGTATATTTGATCTTTCTACAACTGTATACTGCATAATTAACACCTCGGCCGCTGCAAAATTTCATCTAATTTTAACCACTTGCAACGTTACTGGTTCGTTTATTTTCAACTCTGTTATTTTGAAACTTTGTAAGAGATCTAGAGAATTTTTGGCCCTGGAGTTCTTGGGAATTTTGACCCTGAAGAGCTAGGGAATTTTTAACCACAGTGATCTGAGGAATTTTGGTCCGAGAGATTTAGGATATTTTGACCACTGCGATCTAGGGAATTTTTGACCCTAGAGTTCTGGAGATTTTTTACCTTGGAGATCTAGGGAATTTTGACACTCGAGGTGTAGGGAATTTTTAACTGCAGTGATCTAGGGAATTTTCGATCTTAGGAATCCAGAGAATTTTCGACCCTGAAGAGCTAGGGAATTTTTAACCACAGTGATCTAAGGAATTTTGGTCCGAGAAATTTAGGATATTTTGACCACAGCGATCTAGGGAATTTTTAACCCTAGAGTTCTGGAGATTTTTTACCTTGGAGATCTAGGGAATTTTGACACTCGAGGTGTAGGGAACTTTTAACTACCGTGAACTAGGGAATTTTTGATCTTAGGAATCCAGGGAATTTTCTACCCTGAAGATCTAGGGAATTTTTGACCCTAGGTGTCTAAGGAATTTTGGTCTGTAATCTAACCAGAAATTTTGCAACTATGAAATCCTAAGATCTAGGGAATTTTTGGATCCCTCGAATTTACAGAATTTGGAATTCCTAGATTTAGGGAATATTTCATCTTTAATTCTTTAGGAATCTAGGGAATTTACCCTAGATTCTCCTTGGAGCCCAGGCTCCCCTTTCTCTCCCCTAAATCCTTAAATATTCTCTAGACTTTCTTTACCATCTCCCTAGGCTTCTCATATAGTTTCCCTAGACTCCACTTCGTCCATCTTCGCAAGATTTATCGACTCTCAAATTACGCGATTGTCAACCATGTAAAATGAAACCACGCATAAATCAGAGAATTTCGTATGACGAAATCGATAAAAATAAGTGACACGCACAAGGTTGAAAAATGTTGCTCCTATTCTAACAATAGTCATATCTCTTGTACATAACTCAAGAAACGTTGTTTGTCATTTAAATGACGATGGCCGAGGAGGCGTTCTAGATGAATTCGCTGCAAGACGCACAGCAGCCAAGATGTCTAATTATATGCAGACAGCTTGTCGCTTCTAATCCTTCCACGAATACCTGAGCTTTCACCGTGCTGTTATTTAAATACCACCGTCTTAGGATTTCAACTAGCACTTTTGACGACAACAGAACCACATTCTGGAGTGTGTACGCAGCAAAAAAGATCACCTAGTAACAGCTGCTGTCTTG